TGTGTCATCTGCTGGCTTCTCATGGACGATAACAGGATAAGCCATTGTATGAGAGCCATTTGGAGATGTTACAACCTCTATGGTCTTGACCTTCTGCTTATTAGTTCCCTTGTCATATTTACTGAGAGTTTCTTCTAGGGCTTGCAAAGGAGCACCTAGGGTCTGTTCTAGGGAGTGTACCTCCTCACTTGCAAGGGACTCCATATTTCTCATGGAATCATAGAAGTTTTTATGTTCCTCAGAAACACATGATTCCATGGACCTTATCCGATCAATTAACGATAATGTTTCTTCCTTATATACTGTCTGAGGAGCCACAACTTCACTCTGGAGAGTTGGTGTTCTATCCATTAAATATTCATATTTATTATCAATAAAATTTGGGTACAAGTCTGTTTTGTAAATCCTGATTAGCAGATTCTAGAGAAAGAATCTTTTTCTGTAAGCCTTTATTCCTATCTTTGAAAACCTGTAAATCCTGGTTAGCAGATTCCAGAGAGAGAATCTTTTTCTGTTAGCCTTCATTGCTATTTTTTTAAAGCAGATTCCAGAGAGAGAATCTTTTTCTGTAAACCTTCATTGCTATCTTTGAAAGTCTGTAAATCCTGGTTAGCATATTCCAGAGAGATAATCATTTTCTGTAAGCCTTCATTGCTATCTTTTAAAGCCTGTATCAGTCCCAATAATGACTCATCTTTGTTCTTAAACCAGTGTTTGAGCACTGTGTGAATTATTATGATGAATGCCAAAATGGTATAGCCCAGATATGCATTAGGAATGTCGTATGTTTCCAGGAAGATGTCATTCATCATACAGGCAAAAAGGTTTTTAAATTCTTGTGAGGTAGTGTTGTCGGCCATATTACATGAATTACTCAAAATTTGTTAGTCAATTTTAAGGTGTAAAATTATCAAGTACCTTTACTTGAAACAATATGCTTACCTTTTGTGGGTTTGGGGGCATGTAGTAGCACTTTTCAGCCAGCAGGTGGCTTTGGTACAGCTCTGAAACAGGGCCTGCTTGCCATCTTGGCTGGAGTTGGAGATGGCAGATATGGCAGAGGTGGCAGAAATCGGAGCTAGCACTCCCCTGCCTCTTTCTCTCGTCTGAGGCTAAGCTAGGGAATTGAGATCAGACTAGCTGCTCCCTTTTTCGGGAATGGAACTGTGTAGGTGTTTCCTGGTTATATGGAACTTTGCAGGCAGGTTTAGGTACCCACCAGCTAGGGAGGAGAGGGTGGGAGCCGCCCAGGCCTTTGGAGTTTGCCCCACTTGAGCGCCAGATATTGGAGAAATTATTTTGGCCACTTTACATAGTTAAAAGGATATTTATTTAATGGCATAACTCACAAATTAAGTGAAAGGTAGGTCGCGGGGTCTGGGGAAGGTGTATCACAGTCCAGCGGTGTTCTCAGGAGCTCTGCACAGTCCACCTTCACCGTTCAGCATTCTATATCCAAGCTGGAATGGCTATGCACTACACTTCCCAGCTTCTCTGTGTGTCCTGAGTTGTCAGTGAGGTTTCTTGTTGAGTTTGGTGACCATGTTCTGCCCTTATATGTCTTCTCCATCAATAGTTATATGGTTAGTGACCTGTCAAGATATTTGGGGAACTATAAATGACTGGGGTGATTGTGAACTATGGCAATTTTCTCCTGACTTGTAAAACCACAGGCTTGTGGACTCTGCAGCCAAGTTGAATTCTGAGTACTCACCTGTGAATAAGCCTGAAGAGGCTATCTTCTTGGTTACTGGGAGCATGTGTTATGAGGGCAGAAGAACCAGATACCTGAGATAACCACTTCCCTTCAAATAGAGGAAAGAGCTGAATTCCCCAACGTGGGCATCTGAAGCATGGAGCAAAATAATTTGGGATGTCACTGAGTCATTGGTAAACAAGCTTTCTCAAACATTTGATTAGGACTCAGGGTGGTCTTTCCATCCTCTTTGCCTTGTCATACTGAAAGTTAATTTGTGTTCATCTACCCACAAGGAGCACCAAGGAGCTACTTTCCCACCAAACCTTCCTCACCAAGATACAGTTGAAGCAGAAGGTGCAGAAAATGACCGACCAGTCAGCTACAGCAAATGACCATTTTAAAAAATTAGCAGTGAGATTACCTTATCTTTATCACAGAAGAGATCATGAAGAATAGGTATTCATTCTTTTAAGCCCTGTGGTTTCAATGTTAGGTCCACTCTGTCATCATTAATTCATTTTATACAAGGTTTGTGTTTCTGGTAGGCTGCATCTTCAGGGTATGTCTTTGCACAAAATCGTGTCTCTGAACTCTTCCCAAATTCAGAACCTCAAATGTGGACAGGAATGACATGTGGACAAAGAATATTCTGCTTCCTCTAAAAAGAAACAAAAACAGAGCCTGTAGTATGAGTCACATTTCTCATGGACTGAGGCAGTAGTATGTGAGTTCGCAGTATGCATTTGAAGAGATTCTATCAATTGCTGGCTACTGTGAGATGTTAGTTGCTGTTAGTTTGACTTGATTGTTTTGTTACTTGCTTGGAAAGGCCTTGTGTGTTTGATTCTCCAAACAGCATTTGGAGAGGCCTAGTCACACATCTAAATGTGTGGATACAAGGACTGAGACTGATCCTTGCTCCTTTTTTTCCTCTCTGAGAGGACACACCTGCATGCATTTGTTCAGCATCCAATAATGGAGTTCTCCCACTCTCAGTCTCTCTCTGTCTCTCTAAGTATCTTTTTCTCTGTCTCTCACATGTGTATGTGTTGTGTATTTTTCTATGAGTTTGTGCATGTATATCTCACTATTCCCTGCAATCACGGATCTGTGGTTGGACATGAGGAGTTCCCTATCTCACAGTTCCCAGAAGATACCTTGGTGACAATTGGGAGCACCACTTTGAGCATTATAGTTCTGCCAGTGTACTTACTTTAGTGACACATAGATATTCCTTTGGGGAGTTCATAAATCTATCATGATGTTGAGTCCCATCCTCAAAACTGTTCATGATGTTATTTTCGTCTCCATTGTCACAGGTCTGATCATGGAGAATTTGTTTTTGAATACAGGAGAAACATCTTCACAGTTTCTGGAGGGTACACACCTGTGGAGTAGACACTAAGTAAATTCTCAGATAGCTATTTCAGCAAACCTACTTAGAGAGCTCAATGTACCTCCAACTCCCATCATCTAAACAGCCTGCCTCTGCTGGCCTAGAGTCAGAATAGCTGGAAGTAAATTGTATGCCACTCTTTGGGTTTGGTCCTGGGTTTTGGCAACAACAATGTAGGTAAATGTGTAGCAACAACTCTGGGAAAAGGTGTCCTGACTACCTGTGAATCAGGCAACACCTTGATCTGCTTAAGACAGCTCTGATGTTCAGGAACTGCAAGCAGACAGTTTAGCCCTGTAGCGCAAGGTGTTCCACACACCTTGAGCTTCTCAGAAGAGCAGCTCTGCCCTGAAGGTGTCCTGGACACCTGGAGCTGTTTAGCACAGTTCTGATGGCTGGAATTGCAAGGGGACAGTTCAGCCCTGTAGGGTGAGGTATCCTGGACCCCTCAAGCTGCTCACAACAGCTCTGCCCTGATGATGTAAGATAAACAATTGATTGCTGATTATTCTACTTTATTACATTTCTACCAGATACATGAATACATGGCTTTGAGTACACACATAAAGTTTTTAATGTTTCTTATATTCTTATGTATTAAGCATCTTAAAATTAACATTGTTGTATTACAAAACAGCACACATTGGGAGTAGATTATCTACTCTTGGACTACTCTGGAGGTAGAAAAATGAAGACCATGAGTTCAAATGTATTCTTGAATCATTACTGAAGTCAATGCCAGGCTATATCAACAACAAAATCTCAAGGGAATTTGTGAAAACATGAAATCAAAACCAAACACCACAACACACCACCCTTTCACAGACACTCTTACTCAGAAAATATGAACATACACTGCCTGGTATTTAAATAAACAATAGACAAGTGAGATGATTGGATTCCCATTTTATGTATTACAACAGTAAAATGCATATCACTAAATAAAGACACAATGGAAGATGAACAAAAGCCACAGAAGGAATATGAAGACCACAAAAGTAAATTTAACTAAATGAATTTGCCACACATATAGCACACTCTTGTATCTACCTCAAATGTATCAAAATAGAAATGAAAATGCATTGATCTCCCCCATTAATCTTGACTAAACATAGTAACTAATTTACTTCCTTCAAGAAGATGATGAAAAGAAAATGAAGTAAGATCATTTTCTTTAAGCTGAAGACAATTGTGATGTCTAAAATCTGTACCAAGTTGTTTACATGAATAAAATTTTTCTTGTGTACGAGTTTGTCCCTATTTACTGATTTTAACATGATATAAATAGGTTTTAAAATATTTTCATGGCTCGAGACTTGCTTGGGCATTTAAGGAAAGTTCATTCCCAGGAATAAGACTTGATTTTGACAACTTCCTTTAGTTCTTGCTACAAAAAGATTCAAGAGCCTAACATTTTCTGAAACAGGCATGCAAATTCACATACCCCAAAAACATGTACTGATATCACATAATTAAAATCAAAACAACTCTTTAAAAAAACAATTTTTCACTGATGAAACTTTTTCATTTGTAACTATGCATTCTTATAACACAGGTATTGAGACATTTAAAGGTTTACAGAGATTTTCATCATTGTGAATTTGTTCATATGACAGAATGCTTGAAATTAGAGAAATCCTTTTCTGTTAGCAGTATAATTTGTGAAGGTTTAGGAAATGCTCTTCTGCTGAAGAAATATGTCACTGTAGTTAGGCTTTGATTAATTATATCCACACATCTTTTTCAGTTCTCACTCTATGCTTCATGTTTCAGGCTAAGGATGTGAGCTCCCGATTTAGCTGCCATGTCTGATATTTGTTGCCATCCCACTTACATGGTGAGCCTGTGTCCCTCTGGGGCCAAATAAAACTCATTATTAGTTGACATATACATTATATAAGAGGAACAGAAAAGGAACTAATAAAAATCTATAATGTTTGAATTAGTTTTTTATTTAATTAAAGAAAAGTATAAAATCTAAAAATACTACATTGTTATTTAAATTCATAGTGGAGGTGTTTTGCTCTGAAAGGAAAAGTTCCCTGAGTATCAAAAGTTAGGCTACACCTCTAGTTGGGGGTGGAAGGTGTCCTGCTTTTATACAATTGAGAGGAGAAAGATATCCTGGCTGTTGGGGTTTCAGGCTCTACCTGAAGCTATGGTGTAAAGGTTTCCAGGATACGTACAGCTAAAGAAAAAAGCAGTGCAAGGAAGCTAGATACCTAAAGCTGTGAGGACTTAGGAATAATGACTATTAGAAAGTTAGGCTAGTCCTGAAAGTTTGTCCCAGTGTGGGGTGGATTAGTTGAAGGTTGTGGCAAACCTGCTCCCCTCCAAATAAACAGACATTACAGCTTAGCTGTGCTACACTCAGCTAAGAGAGTTTTCCAGCAGAGATGTCCTTTTGCTTCTCTGCTCCACTCCCTTATGAGAATTTCCCAGGAGAGGTGTCCAATATTTCTCTTTTCCAGTGCCCTAGCGAGTTTCCCTGCAAAGATTCTGCTCTGCACTGGCAAAAGAAGATCTTCACCCAAATCTAAATCAAGAGATTTATATAGTGGAGAGGAATCCAGAATAGTGGCTGCCTGTGTCAGTGTGAAAAGGGGCAGCTGCCAGCTGAACAGACACAGGGCTTCTATGGGGCTTCATAGTGATGGAGATTTCCAGTGAAAATTTTGAGGATAGGTATTCGTTGGATTTCAAACTCAAGCTCAGAGATTGGGAGGGTTTCATGTAGAGTGATTGGTTGGTTTTGTGCTCACAGATTGGTTGGATTTTCTGCTTGTGGATTGGATGATTTTGTCATCACATGGTCAGAGGTAGAGTGTATTTCTTTGGTTCTCGTTCCAGTGCCAACTTGAAAGTTTTTCACTGGCTCTGGTTTTAGTTTCAAAGTGTTTCTTTGGCTGAACTTTTACCCTACATAGAGGGCTTTATAAACTACTAAATTCATTTATTCCATGGTTTTACAAGGGCAAACATTGTAAAAATGGACATCATGATGCATGAACAGATTGCTGACACTGTGAAATTGTTGTTTACAGAATGATCACCATTGGGTAAATGAATTCAAGTGTTTTAGATAAGAATCTTGCCAAATACTTTATAATATTAAGGCCTCAGTACTCTTTTTGTTTGTTTGTTTGTTTTTTGAGACAGGGTTTCTCAATGTAGCTTTGTGCCTTTCCTGGAACTCACTTGGTAGCCCAGGTTGACCTCGAAATCACAGAGATCTGCCTGCCTCTGCCTCCCAAGTGCTGGGATTAAAGGTGTGCACCACCACTGCCTGGCGCCCTCAGAACATTTTGCAGGTACTCAAAGTCTATTGTAATATGCAAAGGCTTTAAGAAATTGACTGCACAGAAAAGGGTTTATTCATGTATAAAGAGCAAAATTGTATGACACTGACTATATTTGTAAGGTTTCTCTGCAGTATGATATTTTCTAATGATTTCAAAGACTACTGATATCTACAAAGGCTTTATCACACAGATTACATTCATAGGATTTCTCTCGAGTAGGTGTTGTTTCATGCATTTGAAGAGTACTATGCTTGAAGAAAGTCCTCACAACATTGATTAAATTCATGGGATTTCAATCTAGTAGGTGATCTTTCATGCATTTGAAGATGACTCTGATGACGAAAAACTTTACCACGTTAATTATGGTCATAGGCTTTTGCTCCAGCATGTCTTCTTTTATGTATTTGAAGAATACTGTGAGGAGCATATAATTTACCACATTGACTACATTCACAGAGTTTATCTCCAGTATATATCCTTTTATGCATTTGAAGAGTTTGGTGATGTGCAAATACTTTACCATATTGATTACATTCATAGGGTTTCTCTTCTGTATGTGTTCTTTTATGACATTGAAGATGAGCATATTGTGCAAAGGTTTTACCACACTGATTACAATCATAGGGTTTCTCTCCAGTATGACTTCTTTTATGTATTTGAAGATGTTTGTGATGTACAAAAGGTTTACCACATTGATTACATTCATAGGGTTTATGTCCAGTATGTGTTCTTTCATGCATTTGAAGAGTTTGGTGATATGCAAAGGCTTTACCACATTGATTAATTCTTAGAATTTCTCTCCAGTATGGGCTCTTTTATGTATTTGAAGAGTACTGTGTTTGGCAAACGCTTTAACACACTAATTACATTGAAAACGTTTCTGTCTCATAGGGGCACTTTCATGCCTTTGAAGATGACTCTCATATACAACGGTTTTACGACATTTAGTATATATGAAAGGTTTCTTCTCTCCAGGTTGACTTCTTCCATGTCTGCAAGCACATGTAAAGTCTTTACCAAAATCATTATATTGTTGACTCTTTATATCTGTATGAATTAAATTTAGAATTTGGTCTAATTTTAAAGAGGAATCAGTTCTTAAGATTTCATCATTGTTTTTACACCCATGTTTTATTTAAGCAGTCCTAGTACTCATAGTACTCATAGGGCTTCTCTGTAGCGTGAGTTTGTTAATATATTAACAATGAAGATAGATTCTTCAATATGCTGAGCATTTTTCTGTTTTTCTACCAGGTCTTCTAAAGCCTGGAGGTTCTCTGTTGTTAAAGGCCATTGCTGGACCCATACAGGTTTGTCTGTTAACCATTTTAAAGGTAGTCTTTGGGAGATTATCAATTGTTGTGCCCTGTTCTTGTATAATATGGATACCTATATAACTGTATAAACGTGTGAGAACTGTGGCCACATGTGTGAGTGTTTGATGCCTGAGCTTGTGTATGCATTGGGACTTTTGGGCCAGATTGCCAGCAGAAGGGATGGAGGCCCCTTTGTTAGTTGAACTGGCACAGGCTAGGCAGCCCATGAGTATCACAGGGCCTAGATGCAGTGGGTTTGGGGCCCTAGCTCACTCAGAGAGCTTTGGAGTAGAGACTTTATGACACGATGCAATTGCGGACAGATTGGCCCAGAGGCCGCATGGGAAGTAGGCATGGCTGTGTTCTAGGGCAGGCTGTGATCACTGTGCTGCCCAGATATGGCTGAAAGGTTCTCCCTGGGCTCCTGTGTGGACACAGGACAGAGCTGCCAGGAGACAGCAGGAGCCTGAAGGAGCTCAGTGTGGGGGCTAGTGGAGAACTAACTGCCCCTCCAGGGTCACAGCTGAGGAGTGGCCTACAAGTCTTTGGGCCCAGCCAGGGCATGGAGTCACTTTCAGTCTGCCG